TCTAGCCAGGCTAACCAAGAAACAAAGAGAGAGGACCCAAATAAACAAAATCAGAAATGAAAAAGGTGAAATAACAACAGACCCCACCGAAATACAACAGATTGTTACAAAATACTACGAACAACTCTATTCCAACAAACTGAACAACCTGGACGAAATGGACATATTCCTAGAAAAATACAACCTTCCAAAACTCAATCAGGAAGAATCTAAAAATCTTAATAGACCAGTGACGTGGGAAGAAATTGAAACAGTCATCAAAAAGCTTCCAGCAAACAAAAGCCCAGGGCCTGATGGCTTCACAGGAGAGTTTTACCAAACATTCAAGGAAGAACTAAAACCTTTCCTCCTCAGACTATTCCAAAAAATCCAAGAGGAAGGAACACTTCCAAACTCCTTCTATGAAGCCAGCATCACCCTAATACCAAAACCAGATAAAGACAACTCAATGAAAGAGAATTACAGGCCAATATCCCTCATGAACATAGATGCCAAAATCCTCAACAAAATTCTAGCAAATAGACTCCAGATGAACATCACAAAGATCATACACCATGACCAAGTAGGATTTATTCCAGGAATGCAAGGATGGTACAATATCCGCAAATCAATAAACGTGATACATCACATAAACAAACTGAAAGATAAAAATCATATAGTCATATCAATTGATGCAGAAAAAGCATTTGATAAAATCCAACACCCTTTCCTGATAAAAACTCTTAACAAGGTGGGAGTACAAGGATCATACCTCAACATAATAAAAGCTATATATGATAAACCCACAGCCAACATTATACTCAATGGGCAAAAACTAAAACCATTCCCTCTAAGAACAGGAACAAGACAGGGATGCCCACTCTCGCCACTCCTGTTTGACATAGTACTGGAAGTACTAGCCATTGCAATTAGACAAGAGGAGGAAATAAAAGGCATCCAAATTGGAAAAGAAGAAGTAAAGTTATCCTTATTTGCAGATGACATGATACTGTACATAAAAAACCCAAAAGACTCCATTAAAAAACTAATTGACTTAATAAATGAATTTGGCAATGTAGCAGGATACAAAATTAATGCCAAGAAATCCACGGCATTTCTATACACCAACAGCGAAACTATAGAAATAGAGATTAAAAAAGCAATTCCATTTACCATCGCACCAAAAAAATTAAGGTACCTAGGAATAAATTTAACTAAGGAAGTAAAGGACCTATATGCAGAAAACTACATGACACTGAAAAAAGAGATAGAGGAAGATGTAAAGAGATGGAAGAATATACCATGTTCATGGATCGGTAGAATCAACATCATCAAAATGTCCATACTTCCTAAAGCAATCTATAGGTTCAATGCACTCCCCATTAAAATACCAACGGCATATTTCACCGACCTAGAAAGAACTCTCCAAAAGTTCATTTGGAACAATAAAAGACCCCGAATAGCCACAGCAATCCTGAGAAAGAAGGGTAAAGTAGGAGGGATCTCAATACCAGACTTCAAACTGTATTACAAAGCCACTGTTCTCAAAACAGCCTGGTACTGGCACAAGAACAGACATATAGATCAATGGAATAGAATCGAGAACCCAGATATCAACCCAAATCACTATGCTCAATTAATATTTGACAAAGGAGGCACGAATATACAATGGAGTCAAGACAGTTTCTTCAATAAATGGTGTTGGGAAAATTGGGTAGACACATGCAAAAGAATGAAACTAGATCACCAACTTACACCATACACAAAAATAAACTCAAAATGGATACAGGACTTAAACATCAGACGGGAAACCATAAAAATACTAGAAGCATCCGCAGGCAGCAAAATCTCAGACGTATGCCAAAAGAACTTCTTCACTGATACTGCCCCTAGGGCAATGGAAGCTAAAGAGAAAATAAACAAATGGGACTACATCAAAATAAAAAGTTTTTTTACAGCAAAAGAAACCATCAACAAAACAACAAGAAAGCCCACGGTATGGGAGAATATATTTGCAAATAATACCACGGATAAAGGTTTAATCTCCAACATCTACAGACAGCTGATACAACTAAATAAAAGGAAGATGAATGATCCAATTAAAAAATGGGCAATGGACCTAAATAGAATATTTACAAAAGAAGACAGAAAGAAGGCCAAAAGGCACATGAAAACATGCTCAAAGTCACTAATTATCCGAGAGATGCAAATCAAAACAACAATGCGGTACCATCTCACACCTGTCAGAATGGCCAACATCAACAAATCAACAAACGACAAGTGTTGGCGAGGTTGCGGAGAAAAAGGAACCCTCGTGCACTGCTGGTGGGAATGCAGACTGGTGCAACCACTGTGGAGAACAGTGTGGAGTTTCCTCAAAAAACTGAGAATGGAACTCCCATTTGACCCAGTAATCCCACTTCTTGGAATATATCCCAAGAAACTAGAAACACCAATCAGAAAGGATATATGCACCCCTATGTTCATAGCAGCACAATCTACAATAGCCAGAATCTGGAAACAGCCGAGGTGCCCGTCAGCTGATGATTGGATCCAAAAACTTTGGTACATCTACACAATGGAATACTATGCTGCCATAAAAAAGAAGGAATTCTCATCATTTGCAGCAACCTGGATGGAATTGGAGAACATCATGCTGAGTGAAATAAGCCAATCAATGAAAGAGAAACACCACATGACCCCACTCATTTGTGGATAATAAAGATCATTATAAACTGATGAACCAAAAGATAGATATAGAGACAGTAAAGCAACAAGCAGATTGTCAAATTACAACGGGGAGGGGAGGAGGGTCTGGGGGAGACAATAAATCAACCCAAGGACTTGTATACCTGCATATAAGTACAACCAATGGACATAAAACTCTGGGGAGGGAGGGGATACATGGGAGGGAAGGAGGGGGGCAAAAAAAAAAATCAATAAAATATGTAAAATAAATAAATTAATTAATTAAAAAAAATAATAATAATACATATACATAGTTGTTGTTGTTGTTGTTTTTTAAGCTAAATAATTCTATGTAGCTTATAATGAAAAATAGCAAAGACTTATCCATCAGGGTTTCAGCGTCAGGACTTGATCAGAGAAACAACACTAGCAATGCTACAGAATAAAGGAGCTGTCAGAGAGATGTTACCTGACACAATTGTGGAAACCTGTGGAAGAGTCTGCAAGGCTTTGCTTCTGCTTCTGGGCCCCAGGCCTAAAATCAGCAGGACCGGAAATCTGGAAGGGAAGATACACTTGAGCTGGAGGAGAAAAAGGACTAACTTGAACCTGCACCAGTTTCTCCCTCTTGCCAAGCCTCCAACTTGGATGAGGCAGGAGCTCTTCCCAGAGCTAAACCTGTGCCTGGCCCAGAAGCTGAGGAAGCCGAAAAATGTCACATCTGAGTCATTTCCTAGAATTATTAAATGAATATATCAAAGATAAAAATTATGATCAACAAATACATATCTATCAACAAGTGAATCTAAAAATCAAGTGGATAAAAAGTCTAATGAACAGAATAAACTGGTGAATATAAAATAATCAGGGGCATAGAAAGGGAGTGGACTGACAATTCTTGGGGGGAAAGGGGTGTGGGAATGTGGGAAGAGACTGGACAAAAATGGTACACCTGTGGATGAGGACAGTGAGGGGGGAACCAGGTGGAGGTATGGGGGGAAAAAGAGGAACAACTAATTATCTAAATAAAGATTTATTTAAAAAATACATTTTAATACATTTAAAATACATTGAACATTAGCATTTAGATAGTTATTTACAATGGTATTTACAATCAATTTTACCATAATTTTTGTGAATAGAAAGATAACAGAGAGCTAACTATGGACATAAAACTATCTCCAGCTGCTTCTTTCTAACACACAAATGGTAATTTGTGTATACCCTGCGTATAAGGGGATAACAGTTAAAAATGCTACAGTTCAAAATCATTGATTAAATCAGGTCCTGACAAATTCTCCTGGGTTAAAAAATGCTAAGTCATATTGTATACAATCTCTTCTTCTTCCCATTTTCATACGGTCGCACCCTGACTTAACTGAGTTGCACTTGAAGTAAACTGACACCTGAATTCTGGGGAATTTCATAAACAACAGGCCTTCTAAATCCACGGTACTGCTTTAAGCCCATTATTATGAGTTTACAGCAGGTGGTTTAACTTTGACTTTTTCAGATATCAATGCTGATGGTCTATTAAACCTTTATTTTTTAATTACAAAATTTTTTTACAATTTCCAATTATAGTTGACCTATTAATCATTTTTACGACTAACAGTTGTTCTAATGGTAGTCAAGAATGACCAAGTGGGGTACCTCAACTGTCAATGTTTGCCGTGTGCTTCCCCCCCCCCCCCCCCGTGTGCTTTTAATGAAGTTAACTGTCTGCATTATAAAATTTTATGGTTTGACTGAAAGGCTTGTTTTGACTGATAAGTGATAGTAAGAACAACAAAATGATTCTGAATCCCTCTTTGCTACAGAAGAATTAGATGCAAATTTGAATGGCCTGGGCTAATAAAATTATCCACCAATCACTTTCTTTTAGGTTAAAACAGCCAGCAATCTGCCACGGCACTTCCTATATAAAAGTCTGTGTAACTTTGTGACAAATAAACTGGTCATAGCTTCATTTTATTGAGTTAAGTCCTTCATTAGAAATCCAAACCTTAATTCATATTTGTCCTTATAGAAAAATAAAATCCATTTTATGAGTTTCTAGAGATAAATTATGGATAAAAAAATAGACACTATGTTTCTAATAGTCCTTGGGAAGATACCCATACAAGATTGTAACATTTAACTTCAAAATATGTTTAATTCTTTCCTATCCTTTTTTGTTTTCCAGTAACTAGTAATAAATAAACTAATTATTGTGTGGTAAGAAAAAACTTTTTAGTCATTTTTCCATCTAAGAATTTCATTAAATGAACATGTGACATATCGTGTAGTAGTATGAACAGACGATAACTGGAAATCCAGTTTTATTTTTTAAACTACAAATGGTTGGCAACTGTTTCCTTAATAGTTATTGCAGGAGTAGGTCCAACATGAGTCCATATATAGCCCTTTTCTGGTCTGGTGGGAATTGTGGGAAATGGTGATGAAAGTGACTTGAAATATTCAGAGGGTGCATGACAAACAAACTCCAAGTATTCCATCTTCCTGGGAAGATCCTCCTCTGGTCCTAAAGGCGCCAATGGAAAGGTTAAACACATTTTGAACATAGGTATCATTATCATAAAATGTTAAAATGCCTAGACACTAGGAGAAACCAGTCTGGTGGTACTTGACATTAGCCCTTGGAACATATATTACTATGAAGTTACTCATCATTTTTTATTTTTTTATTTTAACTGCTTAAGGAATATAGCATTCTCCCGGAAACAGTGACTTAATGTAGAAAGAAACCTTAAAAAAATAATATTTAGCCTTACTTAGTGATTATTATATGTCGGCGCTGTTCTTAGTACTGACATACACTCTGGCTGGCGTGTGTGTGTGTGTATGAGACCCAATGCATGTATTTGTGCATGGGTGGGGTCCAGCCAGCCTGGCCAGGGCGAGAGGACATGGGCAGTTGGCCAGCCTACCTACTAGTCGAACTCCTGGTCAAGGGGACAATTTGCATGTTAGCCTTTTATTATGTAGGATATACACTGAGTGGCCAGATTATTATGTATTCAGAGATCATCATAATCTGGCCACTCAGTGTATATCAATACACTGAATCCTCACAAAGCCCTCTGTGGTAGGCACTATCATTATTATTTCCATTTTACATATGGGGAAAATGAGACAAGAAGGATTAAGGAACTTGCCCAATACCACACAGCTAGTAAGTGTAGAGGTTACAAACCCAGACAGTCTGGCCCCCGAGTTTGTGCTCTGGCTTCTGAGGAAGAGGAAAAGGAGGTGGGAGAGAAGCTGGAGGAAATTCTGTCATATCACTGCCTCTGCTGACAGTCCTATCCAATTGATCAGGTAATGAAAGTCTACCCTTTTATATACTTACTAGAGGCTTGAAATTCATGCACTGGGGGTTGGGTCCCTCAGCATAGCCTGCACCCTCTCGCCCAGGAGCTCTTGAGGAATGTCTGACTGACAGTTTAGGCCTGCTCACCGGAGGCAGCAGAGGCTTCCGCCACCATGGCTGCGCTTTGCCAGCCGTGAGCCTGGCCTCTGGCTGAGCGGTGTTCCCCATGGGAGTGCACTGACCATCAGGGGGCAGCTCCTGCATTGAGCATTTGCCCCCAGATGGTCAGTGTGCACCATAGCAACTAGTCATTCCACCATCGGGCCAAACCTAGCTGACATTCCCCTAAGGGGTCCCAGATTGAGAGAGGGCACAGGTCAGGCCAAGGGACCCCACCAGCACACCATCAAGGTCGGGGAGGGACACGGAAGGTTGGCCAGCTGAGGAGAGACCATGGTAGGGCTCCAGGACATGTCCAGCCCATCTTGCTCAGTCCCAATCAGCCGGACACGAGCAGCAAGCTAACCTACCAGTTGGAGCGTCTGCCCCCTGGTGGTCAGTACACATCATAGTGGCTGGTCGACCAGCTGACTGGCCCCTAGTGGTCAGTGCATATCATAGCAAGTGGTTGAGCAGCCTTAGCATATCATAGGCAATATTAGAGGCCCGGTGCATGAAATTTGTGCAAGTGTAGGTCCTCCTTCCCCTGGATGCTGGCACCAGCTTCCCTCTGGCATCTGGGACCAGCCTTCCTTCCAGCCACCAGCAGGCATCCAGGACTTCATCCTGATGGACAGCTGGTCTAATTAGCATACTATACTTTTATTATTATAGATTACGCTTTGTTTCGATGATTGGCTGACTAGACACTTAGCATATTAGGCTTTTATTAAATAAGACTAGAGGCCTGGTGCACAAAATTCATGCACGGGGGAGAGGGGTCCCTCTGCCCAGCCTGCACCCTCTCCAATCTGGGACATCCCTCTCACAATCCAGGATTGCTGGCTCCCAACTGCTCACCTGCCTCTGCCTGATTGCCCCTAACCGCTTCTGCCTGCCAGCCTGATCACCCCCTAACCACTTCCCTACCAGCCTGATTGATGCCTAACTGCTCCCCGGATGGCTTGATTGTCCCTTATCTGCCCTCCCCTGCCAGTCTGGTCATCCCTAATTGCCCTCCTTTGCCAGTCTGGTCATCCCTAACTGCCCTCCTCTGCCAATCTGGTTGTCCCTAACTTCCTTCCCCTGCAGGCCTGATCCCTCACAAGTGCCCCTCCCTGCAGGCCTGGCCACCCCCGTAACTTCCCTCCCCTGCAGGCCTGGTACCCCCAACTGCCCTCCCATGCTGGTCTGATCTTCCCCCAACTGCCCTTCTCTGCTGGCCTGGACACACCTAACTGCCCTCCCTGCTAGCCTGGTCCAACCCAACTGCCCTCCCCTGCAGGCCTTGTCCCCCTACAACTGCCCTCCCCTACAGGCCTGTATCCCTCCCAACTGCCCTTGCTGGCCTGGTCTCCCCCAACTGCGCTCCTCTGCTGGCCTGATCACCCCTAACTGCCCACAACTGCTCTCCCCTGCAGGCCATCTTATGGTGGCCATCTTGTATCTTGAAGTGATGGTCAATTTGCATATTATGCTTTTATTAGATAGGATAAGCAGAAAACTGGTCATATATCAAACTTGACATGCAGGAGACATTAACAGTGGAATGTTATTTGTCTCTTAGTTCTCCCTAAAAAATGTTACTTTTTTTTCCTCAGTGCAAAAGTAACCTATGCCAATTGCAGAAAGGTTACAAAGTTCAGAGTTACAGAACTCTGAATACTTTCAACCTTGAATTACTCAGAAACTTTTTGTGAGTCTACAGAAAGCACTGCTTATACCATTTCTTTTGGCAGTACTGAAATTAGTCAGAGTACAGTTGGCTGCCATTTCAATGATTAATAATGATGTTATAAAAGATCTAGAACAAGCATGTCAAACTCGTGGCCCTGCCAATATAACAGTATGTAAGAAATGTTTTAATAAAAATTTCGTGACTTAATTTTTACAATATCCTGTTATACATAATTACTTATTATTATTTTATATATATATATATTTTATTGATTTTTTACAGAAAGGAAGGGAGAGGGATAGAGAGCTAGAAACATCGATGAAAGAGAAACATCTATCAACTGACTCCTGCACACCCTCTACCAGGGATGTGCCTGCAACCAGTGTACATGCCCTTAACCAGAATTGAACCTGGGACCTTTCAGTCCGCAGACCATTGAGCCAAACTGGTTTCGGCTTGTTATACATAATTATTAATAAAGAACTACAACATTCGCTAATAACTAATTACTATAATTGTGTTGCATTCATTACCCTTACGAGACTTATGCACAGGTGTACCATTTCTCTCCACTAATACTATCAGCAAATATTTTAGCAGCTGACCACTACATCATTAGTCTTGTACTGACTTATTTGGTGTGCACAACAGGAAATATTTCGCTTTTGGAGAACAAGAAAAATGGGTTTATTTGTGTTATACTTATTAATTTGTGCAGTTATTCAGTGTCTGGTTAAGTTAATGTTCAAGAAAAAATATTTTTTTATTAAAATGTTCTATTATTTTAATGATGACTTATTTATTTCAGTCCTTTGTATTCAGCATGAATCTATTGAAATAAATCTATGTTTCTATGAAAATTGAAGCTTTTGTTTTTTTGCGGCTCACATAAACTTAAACCTTGTTTTATTAATTTTCTACAGATAGGAAAGGAGAGGAATAGTCAGAAACATCGATGAGAGAGAAACATAGATCAGCAACCTCCTGCACACCCCCTTCTGTGGATATGCCTGCAACCAAGGCACATGCCCTTGACCAGAATCAAACCTGGGACCCTTGAGTCTGCAGGCTGATGCTCTATCCACTAAGTCAAATTAGTTAGGGCTAAACTTACTTTATTTGGCCCATGTTAGCCTTTGAGTTTGACATGCTTGGTCTAGAATGATTATGTGTGACATGAAGAAGAATGCATATTGAAAATATGTAAGATTCTAGAAATAACTGTGATAGTTCCTTCAGAAATTATTTTTAGTAGATTTTTATAAGTAATCTAAATAACCTAGATCCTGAGCAATAAATTCTTTTAATAGTTTAATCTTGGCTCACTTAAAAAAATCTTATCTACATTACTTTTTAGTAGGTGCATGCAGGCCTAACTCCAAACAACTGACAGCAATCAAAGTTCAGGTGTATAAAACGTTCTTCTGTTTTCTGTAAGGCGATGAGTACTTAATGACACTTATGCTTCTTTGTATGGACTGAATTGTATCCCTCCCTAATTCATATGTTGAAGCCCTAACCCTCAAATGGTGGCGTTTGGAGACAGGGTTTAGGGAGGTAATCAAGGTTAATTGAGGTCATAAGTGTGGAACCCTAACACGCCTGGACTGATGTTCTTATAAGAAGAGACTGAAGAAGGACTGTGTGCAACAAGACTGAGAGAGTCCACAAGCCAGGTAAAGAGCTCCACCAGCAACTAACCCTGAGAGCACCTTCACCTGGTTCTTCCAGCTTCCAGAACAATGAGAATAGACATTTCTGTTGTTTAAGCCATTCAGTCTGTGGTATTTTGTTATGGTAGCCTGGGCAGACTAATGCATTCTTATACCTAATAACAGATACTTAACTGGGTCCAAGTTTGACCTGTACCCTTTGTGAAACTCACCTATGATGTAGGATGCAGGATCGAATCGGTCCGTGGGGCTAGAAAGAGTGGGAATGAGCCACGTCAGTGCTGCGCTCTTCTCACAGTACTGGTCCTGGATAAAACCCCTGATCTGAGCATAGTAGGATTTTCCATCTTGCTCATCAATCACAGAAACAACATCTCCAATTTGGTAATATACCCCCTGTGGAAATAGAAGATAAACCACGTTTAAAATAAATAGAACAGCAACAGAACTATGAATGGAAACTTCCTTAATGTAAAAGCAAGAGTTTTCAAAGTGGTCAATAAAAGGTCTCTGAGATGGACAAACTAATGTGTATATGGTTGAAGCCAATTCTAAAATTGTCTCACTTTTGAATGAAAAAAATTTTACACACACAGCTTGCAACTGAAGGAAATGTGCTTAAAAAAAAAATGCTTTAGGCCAAAACTGGTTTGGCTTGGTGGTAGAGCATCGGTCTGCGGACTGAAAGGTCCCGGGTTCGATTCCGGTCAAGGGCATGTACCTTGGTTGCGGGCACATCCCCGGTAGGGGGTGTGCAAGAGGCAGCTGGTCGATGTTTCTCTCTCATCGACGTTTCTAGCTCTCTATCTCTCTCCCTCTCTGTAAAAAGTTAATAAAATATATATTTAAAAAAATACTTTAATTTTCTATCACCAACAGTACTATCGCTACTTTTTTGGCTAGAAAAATTGAGCTGCAGAAGTGACTTGGTGAAAGCCACAAAGGCAGAGCTGCAGCTGAGGTTCCTACACTAGCTAAGAGGTCTAACCCTGTACTGGCTTGAAAATCAGTGTTTATCTGGTGAAAATATGCTCTATACACCTTCCTCCTCAACCATCAACTGGGAAAAGAGATACTACAAACTGAAACCAATGAAATGATAGAAGCTCTTCGATTGTAATAGGTCTTCAGGGTAGGTTTTACCTTCAATTTACCCTACTTTCCCCAGTCTCCCTGGCAGCTGTCTTCTCCTTCTCCCTTCCTATTCTCTGTGACATTCTCCGACAAGGAGTTACTGGTCAAGGCTTTGTGTCTTATCCTTACTCTGCTTCATACCCAGCTAACTAACTTGTGCATATTTTGTGTTTAGAACCCTTATAACTGCCACTGCCTTCTACCCCATTTCCTCTTCCCTGGGTTTCGAACTGGAAATAATCTCTCATTTGAACATACATAATGGCTGATGCAAATATTTATGACACTCAGCACTTCCTTTTTAAAAAAAAAAATATATTTCACTGATTTTCTACAGAGAGGAAGGGAGAGAGATAAGAGAGCCAGAAACATCGATGAGACAGAAACATCGACCAGCTAACTCCTGCACCCCTCCCCCCCCACACTAGGAATGTGCCCGCTTTCCATTGACACATGCCTAAAAATCATCAGCACACGAAGTTCTTAGCTTAGTCAGTTGCTCCTAAACTTAATCTGTAAATGTTTAGCTGGGAAAATAACACACACATGCGAAAATGTGATGATGGTAACTGTTCCTATTCACTTGGAGTTAGGTGCTTAGATATACATGATCTCACTTGACCCAATGAGTAGTTTCTATTTACAACCCCTATTTTATAGAATCTATGTAATCTACAGTAATGAAGAAACATCAGAGAGCCTTGGCCAGTGGTGCTCAGTGGTTGAAGGGTCGGCCCTCGCACTGAAGGCTCATGAATTGGATTCCAGGTCAAGGGCAATGTACCGGGGTTAACAGGTTCAATCTTGGTTGGGGCATGTGCGGGAGGCAACCAATTGATGTCTTTCTCACACAGATGTTTTTCTCTTCCTCTCTCTCTCCCACCGCACCCCATTCTACTCTCTCACTCTAAAAATTTTATATATCTATATATGTGTGTCTGTATGTGTGTATGTGTGTGTGTGTATATCTCCTCAGGTGAGGATTCCTGGATTCTCTCTCTCTAACCATCAACTTCCAATAGGTGCTACTCCCTACTGCCCTTATCCTCCCACTTCTGCTTACAGGCACTGCAAAGTCCCAGTGCTGACTCTACCCACTAGACACCTCTACGAGCCTGAATCCTGCCTCTGTTCTTCTCACCCTTCAGTTCCATCACATTGTTTAGGATGGCTCCCTCTCACAGCTCCACACCATACATCGTATTTTAAAAACGATTCTCGTGAATCCAAGATGGCTGCGCCCAGGTGAATACCTAGCTGCAGCCTCACACAACAATTTCAATAAAATACAACTAAAATATAAAACGGACATTACCCAGAACTAGAGGAAAGTTGACTGACTGGAAATTCTACAACGAGAAGCAAGGAGAAAACCAGAAGGAAGCGCGGAGGAGCTGGAAAAGCCCAAGGTACGGAGACGCGCGGCGCGGAGAGGACAGAGGCCGAGTGCCTGGCTGGCGTTCCCTAGCGGGAAGGAGATAAAACTCCAACTGTGCTGGGCCCCATTCTGACTGCTCTGAACCCAAGCCTAGGCCAGACCCCGGGGACCCAGGCTCAGCCATAGGGAGCCGGGCTGTAAGGCGGAACCCGGGGAAGCGGCGAAAAAGGGTCCCGGCAGGCAGCGGCGCGCAGTGCGCTCAGAGAAGGGACAGCCAGCTGTGCCGTGGGATTGCCTGGCGGGAAGGAGACAGGGGCGCCAGACTGCTCTGAACTCCACCTCCAACTCCACTTCCAACTGAACTGAACCCCAATACCGGGCTCATTGGGGGAGAGCATAGACTGTTTGGCAGCAGGCGAAAATCGAGGGCGCCTTTCTCTCAGAGGTGCCGGCAGCGAGCACTGAAGGACCCGCATAGGGCGGGGCTGACGGAAGCCAAGGCTGCAGGCTCCACCCTGAAACCCCGCCTCATCTGTAACTGCGAAATGCGACAATGGAATAGATCACAAACGAAAGAAATGGAGGACAAAAAGTGTCTGGATATAGAGTTCAAATCTACGCTTATAAGGTTTTTCAAGAATTTCCTAGAAAAGATGGATAAGACCTATGAGGATATGAAAAGAGATCAACTAGAATTAATAAGGAGTCATCAAGAAATGATAAGGGATCAACAAGAAATGATAAGGGATCAACAAGAAATAAAGAATACATTGTCTGAAATAAAAAATATTTTACAGAGTCCTAAAAACAGAAGAGAAGATCGCAAGAATCAAGTCAAAGATTTGGAACATAAAGAGCCAGAAGACACTCCTCCACAGAAGCTAGAAGGCAAGAGAATCCAGAAAATTGAAGATAATGTAAGAAATCTCTGGGACAACTTCAAGCGAACCAACATCAGAATTATGGGGGTCCCAGAAGATGAGAGAGAGCAAGATATCGAAAACATACTGAAAGTAATAGTGACAGAAAACTTCCCTCACCTGGGGAAAGAATTAGACTTACAAGTCCAAGAAGCGCACAGAACTCCAAACAAAAGGAATCCAAAGAGGACCACACCAAGACAAATCATAATTAAAATTCCAAGAGCAAAAGACAAAGAGAGAATATTAAAAGAAGCAAGAGCAAAGAAGGTAGTTACCTATAAAGGAGCACCTATACGATTGTCAGCTGACTTCTCAACAGAAACCATGCAGGCCAGAAGGGAATGGCAAGAAATATTCAAGGTGATGAATAGTAAAAACCTACAGCCAAAGATAATCTATCCAGCAAAGCTATCACTCAGAATCGAAGGTCAGATAAAGAGCTTCACTAATAAAAAAAAGCTAAAGGAGTTCATCAACACCAAACCAGAATTATATGAATTGCTGAAGGGGGTTCTTTCAGAAGAGAAAGTAAACAAAGATAAAAATTATGAACAACAAATACGTAACTATCAACAAGTGAATCTAAAAAACAAGGAAATTTTTAAAAATCTGATGAACAATAGTAACTGTTGAATATAATAGAATCAGAGGTATGGAAGGGGAGTGAACTGACAATTCTTGGGGAAAAGGGGAGAGGGGGACGTGGGAAGAGACTGAACATAAACTGTGCACCTATGGATGAGGACAATGGGGAGAGGGGAAAGGGCAGAGGGTGGGGTGGGAACCTGGTGGAGGAGAGCAATGGTGGGGGGGGGGGGGGGGGAAGGAACATTTGTAATAATATGAACAATAAAAACTTATTAAAAAAAAAAACACAAAACGATTCTCGTGATCTGTGCTAAAAAATTCAAGATCCTCTTCATATTTCAATAGGCAACTTCCCCTCCCATCTCAGCTCTAAGTGAGATGTTTTCTAACAGCTACCTCTGGGAGAAACAGCTTAAAGAACAAAAAACACACACAGACCTTCAGACCGACCCAATGTTTTAGTAGCCTATTATACAGTAGGCCCAAATCTTCCCCAGTAACCACAGGTGTTTACCTTGTAGAAGATTGATTCTGCAGTGATTATGGTGGAAACTGACTCAGGCGCTTTGATTGGCTATGAAAAAAAAATAAAGGAAAATTATTAGCACATTCACACTGAGTGTATATAGGCATTTTTTCCAACCATATATGAGAGTTCTGTAATTCGAGAAATACTAAATTTGTTATTTGGTGACAAAAACTGCAAAAAGACAAATGATTTTCTGAATGTTGTGGCCAAGTGTAATATGAATATTTCCACTGCTATTTCTGCTATCATTTGCTTAAAAATTGCTGGGAACTAGAGGACAAGCTTCTGATTATGCTGCTGAGAGCTAACACAAGCCCTTTCAGAGCTTTATTACACATTAACATTTTAGTTATAATAATATATTGCCTCTAGCGACCAGAGCATAACAAATGAAATTTAAAAAAAAAAAAAAAAATGGGTGAGCACTAAGTGAAAAAGTGCTTCCTTGATGACATTTTCCATCTCAACCTATGAAGCCAGCTGTAACACTTGAGATATTATCAGAACCCATTTTCTAGCAAGCCTGAACTAAGGCTAAAAAAAACTTCCTTGGGAGTTCTTATTAATCTGCCACCATCCGCCCATCACTGAAATCTGTTCTTAAGCTGAAATATACAATTTTATGCCACCACAGAGAAAGCAGCCCTCCCAAAATATGTCTTGGTATCATCCATGAAGAGTTTGCTAGAAAAACTGATACTGAAATAATTGCAGAGAATATAGTCTATCATACGTAAGAATAAAACATGTTTAAGTGATACAACTATAAATAATCAAAGGAATATTTACTTAACATGTTTTGTCTAGCAAACAAATGCCTCATTTTTAGAAAATTAAATTATAAAAATCTTAAATTAGAGGCAACTAATCTTAGTAAGAAAAGAATCCACAATCTATACAATATACTGGAGGCCCCTTTGTGTTTGATGAAAGAATATGCCTTTACTGGTCAGTCATTCCTGTTCCGAAAAGGAAGTATCACACTGAGGTTTTAAAAAGTTGCCTATAATGCATTATCCTTTGTGTCTGACCATGTCCCCTTGTGTGTACAAAGGTAATGAGAATTGATTGCACTGAAAATTTGCTTCCTAGCACCCCCACAAAAAAATCTTTCAACAATCTGTTTTCTTACAGCAGAATAGAGAAAGATTTAGCAAAATTTCAATTCATATTCATCAAACTGATCGTAAGTCAGTAAAATACATTTTCCTGGGGCTAAAATAACAAATATGGAAACAAGTTTCAGTATTATTATTTACTCAGATCTTTCAAGAAGGAAAAAAGGGTTTCCTAGTGCACTTGGCCATATCATAATTCTTTGCATAAAGAAGTAAAAAAAACACACACACCCACATCCAAAGTGTAGGTTTCCTCTACAGCCTACTGCTGACCTCCCCCAGAGGAAAAGGAAAACCTGAGCTTCACCAAACAGAGAGGGAGCCCCTGGGCCAGGGTGGGCTGCTCCCCAGGACACCATGGAGCAGCTCCCAGGAGGAAGGAGTAAGTCCCCCGAGGAAGATGAAGGTAGTGGCTGGACACAAGGCTGTTACAGTGAAAAAAACAAACCAACAAAAACACTATCCACAACCATCTTACATTTTTTAATTTAAAAATATGTCTTCTCCCTTTTCCTTTGGTGGAAACTTTCTTCTCAGCAGCTGGAGCAGATTTGTACTTGGTGTTTCTGAGCCGAGCAGACCTCCTGTGAATTTCCTGCTTACTCTGCTACAGCAAGAAAAGAAAGAAAAAAAAAAAAAAATGGGGAGAGAGAAAGGAATTAAAAAGTGTGGAAAGGATGCTGTCCGGATACAACACCCCTGGAGGGATCCCCGAGTATACACTTTATCCGGGCCTCCAAAAATCAAATCAGGGCGCACCTTTTCTTTTCCTACTGGGTAACCCCCGTTGTGTGGGGTCAGGAAAACAAGGAGGGGCCTCGGCCAGCCACTCCGGAGCCTCCAAAAAGGCGTGAGCTGCCTGCCATAGGGCCAAGGCCTGGGCGAGGTGCAAGTCCATTCACCGGCGTTTGTAACAACGGAGAAGCACCCCAACAATTCAACTCTCCGGCGCCGGAGATCCGGTTAGGCACGCCACCGCCTTCCTACCATGGAGTGCTCATGCTGCCGTTTACACGGCATGATGGCATTAACGGGACACGACGACACATGCCCTCGATGATCAAGGACAAGCCCCGTGGCAGGACCCCATGCACCTGCCTGCGCACACGCATGGCTAAGGCTAAGGTGACGACTGGTTGCTACCCAAAATATCCCAATGGAGGGATTTCCCAAGGATTTTTACTTTTCAAGCTTCTTTAGACTACCATTTCTCCAAAGAAAAGGTGCTTAGATCGGGCCGAACCAGCTAAGATCTCATCAGGGGTGGGGGTGGCGGCCGGCCAGGCCCGGCCCGGCCCAGCTGGACACGGCGGGCACTGGGGTCCCGGGGCCGCGCCCCGCCCCCTGCGCATGCGCCCTCGGGGGGAGCTCACCTGCTTGCCGCCCCCGCCCCCGTTGCTCTGCGAAGGGGCGGCCGAGGTGCTGGGGAAGGTGGCCGCCCCGAGGCCCGCGCCGCCGCCGCCGCCGCCGCCGCCGCCGCCCCCGGTCCCGCCGGCGGCCCCGGAGCCCGCGCCCGCGCCGCCCCGGCCCGAGCAGTGGAGGCAGAGGATGTCCCCCTGCGGGCTCTTCTTCCACATGGACGACGACGTGGTCTTGCAGACGCTGCAGGTGGGCTTCAGGCCCAGGGGCATGGTGGCCGGCTCGGGCGGCCCCCGCGGGCGCAGCGACACGGGAATGGCGACCGCCGGCCCCGGCCGCCCGCCGGCCGGCCCGCCACGTCCAGCGACGGGGAGAGCGACTGGGCGCGGGCGGTACCCAGCCCCCGGAGGCCGGAAGCCAGCCCAGCGGAGGCGGAGCAGCGGACCCGGGGCAGCTTCCGGCGGTGGGCGGGGCCCGCGCCCCGCTGACCGGAAGTGCCCCCGGATAGGGGGTGCACTGCCATTCAGGTGGTTGCTGTTTGCATTTTTTTGGCCTTAAATACAGACCGTGCAATTAAATTTAAATTTCAGATGAGCAAAGGATTATATATATATATTAATATTCGTATTTATCTGAAATTCAAAGTTAACTGGGCGTGCTGTGTTTTCATTTGCAAAATCTGGCTCTCCTACTCAGGACCCCTTTATACGCTTAAGAAGATAGAACCAGAGGCATGGATACATGGAGCAGACTGACAGCTGACCCAGGGCAGGGGAGAGGGGGGACTGGATTTTATTTATATATATATATATATATATCCATCCTACAGATGTGGACAACAGTGTGGTGATAGTCAGAGGGAAGGGGGGGGGGCTAGGTGGAGGTGCATAAAGGCGGGAGAAATGGGGACTTCTGCAATAGTCATTTTGTAATTATAACTTAGACCACCCCAAGTATTTTTGTTGTTATAGATTATATCCATGGACATTTATGTGTTAGGAGTTGAAGTAGACATTTCAGCTTAAGATGCAAAGCACACATTTATTTTTTTAAAATATTTTTTTATTGATTTCAGAGAGAAAAAGAGAGGGAGGGAGAGACAAAAACATCAATAATGAGAGAGAATCATTGATCAGCTGCCTCCTATACACACCCCTACTCAGGGGATTGAGCCTGCAACCCGGGCATGTGCCCCCAACTGAAGTGGAACCTGGGACCCTTCAGTGCGCAGGCCAACGCTCTATCCACTGAGCCAAAGGAACCAGGGCAAAGCACACATTAACCATTGAGTGATGTCATCGTAGTTGGGTGATGTCATTGTATGGCCTGTAGCCCTCTGAACAGTATGCCAGTGCAATGAGAAGGGAAAGGCAAAGAAGTGGCTTGGCATTGTTGGGAGACCGTTTTGACCCCAAAGACTCCCTGCAAGGGTCTTGGGACCTTCCTGGACCACAATCTATTATAGAACAGGTGGCTTAGGACAAACTCATTATGAAAAGCCATTCCCTCTGTTAATGTCTAGTCAAGGTTAGGCCTCACCAGGAAAAGGACTGTCACCTCAGCTTCACCTGGTAAAGTTGTGGTTGCATGTCTGTGTCCATGATCCTGGGGCTCGGGGACTGGACATTTCTGGAGAGGTCTTGATGAATGTGTTGGTGGTGTGGGCTGAGTGGGAGAGGGGAAAGCAAATGTGTTGAATGCTTATGACGTCATAAAATCTCAGTGCTTATGACTTCCGTGGAACAAGATATTAATGTTCCTATTTTACTGTTAGCTGATCAACAGAGGAGCCATGATGTGGACTGGCTGCCAGCACGGTGGCTGCTCTTGGTGTCATATCTGGACAGGCCTTTAGAGCAGCCCTGGGGCTGGGCTGTGGCTTGGTCATCCTCCCTCTGAGTCTAGGTTTCCCCAACAGTAAAACAGAATATTAACTGCCCTCCAGGGCTGCTATGGGGACTACGATCAACTGTGAAAGTGGTTGAGGAGAATAGGTATTTTAGAATGGTGCACTCTGCAAGGGGCATCTGGGTGTGCACCTTCATGCTCCCTAATTTTGTTTTCCTGGTAATGTGTCCCCTCTGCATCTGATTGCCAAGTTATTCCCTCTCTTCACTGAAAACGTAGGCCTCTGGTTCAACTACTTCCTCTCCACCAAAGGACTCTGTCCTGGGTGGAGTAAATAGCCACCTGCATTGCCACGCAGCATCCCCTTTTCTCAGTTTCCCCTCAACCCCCTGATCTCCAGCTTCTGTTCTTGACAGCTCCCTGGTCACACCCTCTACCTTTCTGAGATAATCAGAAGAACTACATTTTTTTTTTCCTTGTAAAAAATTGTTACAACCTTTTAAAATGAAGTCTAATACACATACTGTAAAGTATCCAACTCATTCCTGCACAACTTAGCACAAAGTAACCACACTTGAGCAACCGGATTAAGAAATAGAACGTGACTGCCATAAGAGTCCTCTGGCACTTGCCCTTTACACAGAGAGTTCCACTGGCATGACTTCCAACACCGTAGATTTTGTAGATTCCTTTTGTCAGGTTAAGGAAGTTCCCTGCGATTTCTATTTTCATCACAAATAAGATATTTTTTAATTTTATTGATTTTTCACAGAGAGGACTGGAGAGGGATAGATCCCACACTGGGGATCGAGCCCACAACCTGAGCATGTGCTTCTGATGGGCATCGAACCTGGGACCCTTCAGTCTGCAGGCCAATACTCTAACCACTGAGCCAAATTGGCTAGGGTGGCAATGACTTAAAACACACACACACACACACACACACACACACACACACACACACACACACCGCCCCCCCCCCCCACCTCTCTCATCGAACAGCCCGAGTCCTCCTGGGCCTGCAGCCCGGACTGGGCTTCTCCTTGGGTGGCGGGCGGCACCGGGGTCATCGTGCGGCAGCAGCACCCCGGGCCGCTCCCTCACCGGCACCCCGGGCTCCCTCACCGGCACCCCGGGCCCCTCACCGGCACCCCGGGCTCCTCCCTCACCGGCACCCCGGGCCCCTCCTCACCGGCACCCCGGGCCCCTCCTCACCGGCACCCCGGGCCCCTCCTCACCGGCACCCCGGGCCCCTCCTCACCGGCACCCCGGGCTCCTTCCTCACCGGCACCCCGGGCCCCTCCTCACCGGCACCCCGGGCCCCTCCTCACCGGTACCCCGGGCTCCCTCACCGGCACCCCGGGCTCCTCCCTCACCGGCACCCCGGGCCCCTCCTCACCGGCACCCCGGGCTCCTTCCTCACCGGCACCCCGGGCCCCTCCTCACCGGCACCCCGGGCCCCTCCTCACCGGTACCCCGGGCTCCCTCACCGGCACCCCGGGCTCCTCCCTCACCGGCACCCCGGGCCCCTCCTCACCGGCACCCCGGGCCCCTCCTCACCGGCACCCCGGGCCCCTCCTTATTGGCACCCCGGGCCCCTCCTCACCGGCACCCCGGGCCCCTCCTTATTGGCACCCCAGGCCGCTCCCTCACCGGCACCCCGGGCTCCTCCCTCACCGGCACCCCGGGCCCCTCCTCACCGGCACCCCGGGCCCCTCCTCACCGGCACCCCGGGCCCCTCCTTATTGGCACCCCGGGCCCCTCCTCACCGGCACCCCGGGCCCCTCCTTATTGGCACCCCAGGCCGCTCCCTCACCGGCACCCCGGGCTCCTCCCTCACCGGCACCCCGGGCCCCTCCTCACCGGCACCCCGGGCCCCTCCTTATTGGCACCCCGGGCCCCTCCTCACCGGCACCCCGGGCCCCTCCTTATTGGCACCCCAGGCCGCTCCCTCACCGGCACCCCGGGCTCCTCCCTCACCGGCACCCCGGGCCCCTCCTCACCGGCACCCCGGGCCCCTTCCTCACCGGCACCCCGGGCCCCTCCTCACCGGCACCCCGGGCTCCCTCCTCACCGGCACCCCGGGCCCCCTCCTCACCGGCACCCCGGGCTCCCTCACCGGCACCCCGGGCTCCCTCACCAGCAGGTCCCCTGCCCCGCGGGGTGGCCGTGCGGGAGCCGCTGCCCGGGCCGCAGGGCGCCCGGCCGGGGGCGCGGGGGCGGGTGTGGCCGCCGGGCACTGGGCACCGCGTCCAGCGGCCGCCACTCTGGCCGGGACGGGGCTGGGCGGGTGGACGCGGCTCAGGGCCCCCCTCCTGGGTAGCGGGGTTCGCAGGACACCCCAGCCCAACGGCCACTCCCCCAACTGCCGTCGGAACTCTGCTCCGGGGTGGCCGCTGGCGAGCGGCGGCGCCCGGAGGACCAGGTGAAAGCTGCTCTGGGGCTGGGCGCCAGCCCGGGGTGGAGGGGGGAGCGCAGCCGCTCCGTTTGTTTGGGGTCGGCTCAGCGCCTGGAAACCTTGGCAGCTCTGCCCTTTGGTTTGCAGGATCTGGGGGAGGACCCGCTGGGCTGTGTGAGCATCCCTGGGTGCTTCAAGCTGGGCGTGAGGACTCCCTCCCTCCGAGGGGCTCTGGACTTGGAGGAGGGAGGGAAGGAGGGAGGGAGGGAGGGAGAGAGAGAGAGGGAGGGAGGGAGGGAGGGAAATGGTTCTTTTTCTCTTCAAAATGTAAATACTTTTTATATAAATAGTAAATGCTCATTATAAAAATGAGTACAATGCAGAGGCATCCCCCCACCCCCCTGCTGTGTGACCAGAGACAACCACATTCATAGTTGGTGGCCTAGCTTTTCAGTCTCTGGAAGTATGTGCATCTGTGTGAAACATTGATGTGACGTAACTGTTATCCTATAACCCTGCCTTTTAAATTCAAAAGTATGTAAAAGTGAACTTTCCAGCCCATATAGACCTGCAGTTTCCTGGCTGAAATTAACTTCACCATTCCCTATAATATTGGGTATTGAGCGTGTTTTACATTTCTTTTAGTTACAAACAGTGAAGGATGTAATGAACTTCCTTATACATGCACGGCTGCCTGTGTGTGTGGGCACTTTTTATGGGATACATTCCTACAAATGGAACCACTGGGTCTAAAGGAAGGCACATTTTGAGTTTTGGTAGGTGCTTCTAAATTGCTCACCAAAAAAGCTTACACACCTGCCAATTCCCCATTGCCAAGGCCCACGATAGTTTTAGGGGTTATAGAAGTGTTTTAACTTTAAAATCAGGAGAAAATATGGTACCAATGACTGTAATACACAATAGATTCAGACTGGATTGCATATTTTATATACCAGTGCAGCTATAAAATATACTTTTTCCTTTCTTTTTATTTTTTTATTTTTATGGAGAGGGAATCCATAAGGC